ATATCTTGTTCACATATGATCATATACTTCATATAACAGATAGGAACACTTTCGCGTAGCTTATAATCATAGGTTTTGTCTCATAACATATACTTGTTTTCACATATATATTTCATATCAATTCTTATACCATCACATAATTCCTTTAACATACATAACATATCATGTAACATTATAATAGAAATACCTATAAGTCATATCACTTAGAGCACATATATTTATAGTCACATTGCTTATATCTTAATCTTATGCCTTCTCTTAGACATATATATATATATATATATATATATATTCACATGTTCAGGTAATCCATCATTTCATCACATAATTGTGTATTCATATAACTCATTTCATTTCATTTCATATCTATCTATATATATCTATCCTCAAGATTATCCTAATATAAATCATATAGCACTCTTATATTTCTTATTCATATTCATCTAAGGCAGACTTATAAACATATCTCACTTCTATTGTTTCTCTATATATAATCTAATCTGTTTACTTAATTCAATTTCATATAACTCCTATAATCTTCTCATATAACTTCAAACTTTTCTATCATACAACCCATGTGTTATAGTTTTATTTAAACATATGAATCTTTCCCATCTAGCTTATCTTATATGTTCATCTTATCATTTATGTTCAAATCTCCTAGTTAGTGTACTATTCTCACTTCATCCTATAGATCAATATTATCCAGCTTATTTCACTTATCATATAGTAATAATTATATTTTACTATGATCACATAGTTTATATCTCATATAATTCATAACCTTTCTTATGTAATTACTTATACTTTATCATCTAACACATAAAAGAACAGATCAATCCATATACTCAAGCATACATACATGCATATTCAACTCATGCCTTTAATCATGCATTCATGTGTAATACTTCAGGAAATAGACTCATCGCAAGTCTTATTCCTATTGCACATCATATACTATTGAATATGCACTCACCTGGCCTCACTAGTCAATTCCAATCTCTTATCTTTCCCCTTGATCGATCTTACTTGTCAATGGTTCCGGAACTCGTTTAAGCTCTGAATCTACATAATTATACATTTTAAGGCAATTATTAGATACCTACACCTTGTAATTTGATACTAGCAACTTAAACGAACTTATTAAACCCATATTCCCAATTTTCCTTTAGGGGGAATCGGTTCCCCCCTATGGGGGTATCGGTTCCCCCATGACATACTGGAAATTCTTGTTCATTTGAAGGGGTATCGGTTCCCCTTGAATGGGTACCGATTCCCCTTGCCCAGAAATCATATTTTGAGCTCGAAAATCCTTCATTTTCAGCTCAACACATCATACTTCATTCCCTTTAATATTCCTAACTTTCATACACCTACTTAAACTCATTTCTACTCCATAATCACTTCATTAAACTCAAAATTCTATCATTTACATGGCATTCAAGAATCACACTAAATTTCCAACATGTTCTAAAACCCATTCTATCACTTCATATCTCTTAATTTAACCCTTGACAAGTCAAATTCAACTTCACAATCTATTATCTCCTTCCATATCAAAAATTCACTTAAAAACTCATTTTTTTAATTTCTCATAACTTGTTAATCTTTGAGGTTTAAGCCACCTAAAGCTTTCCTTAATCTTTCTTAATATCCCAAGAATCAAAACAAGCTTTAAAACGAAAGAATTAACCAACTAACGACCCACTTACCTTATACCGGGCTTCACGGTTGAGAGGAGGAAGAAGAAGACTGAAGAATGCTCTGGACTTTTCTTCCTACGTGCTTATTACCCTTTATAAAGGGAAATATAAATCTTCCCTGAAAAATTACCACAATACCCTTAATATTTCCAAACTTAATCATTAAATCCAACATCAACTTTCTTCAATTAAATCCATGAACTTTTAACTTATTTCGAAATCGAGCACCTAGTTTACAAAATTTGCAATTTAATCATTGACCCTGATTTGGGATGTTACAAATATAGCTTGAGAGTTGAGTTTGAGCATGTTGAGTAGATTTCCATGGTAGATCCATATTAAAGTTACTTTAGCATGTTTTAATCCTTATTTATGACCCTTATAAGCATATAAGCACATAAGACTTAATAACTAATTGGGAAACCTTAAGGTAGGAAATTTGGGGAGTTTAAGAGGCAAATTTGTGCCTAAATAGGGTATTTTTTTACATGCAGTATCGATATTTCATAAGGAAAGCATGAAATCGAGAGTTTTTGACGAACAGCAGCGATACCCTTCTGTAGTAACGATACTAAGAGTAAAGTATCGAGACCGGGATTCTAATAGGCTATTTTGGTATCGGTACTCTAGGGAGTATCGATACCCAAGGTCCCAGTAACGATACTCCCATATGAGTATCAATACTTCCTATTTCTTTCAAGGCATATCAGTTGGGGTATCAATACTGAGGAGAGGGTATCGATACTGTAAGTCAAGTATCAATACCAAGGTTAAGAATTGGGATTTAATTCAAGGGAAATTATAGAATCAAGTGAGGTTTCCCAAAAACTTATAACTTTTCTCAAATAAGACTACAAGTGAGAACAGTAAAAATGCTTAATTCAAACGTAGCAACGAGATAAAGTAAGGTGAAATAAGACTAGCCTTATTTGAATGCTTGGAAAGCGATTAGGACACCCGAGTTTCTTTAGAAAAGCTAGTAGTGTCGAAAGCATAAATTTAGTCTGAATATATCCATAGGGAGTACGCAAGGAACTTTAAGCTGACTGACTAAGGCCAAGGTCTGACACTCGCAAGGGGTGGGTTAGTTCGAGGGTGTTGATCAATGCAGTGATTCCGGGCAATCATCCTCGGTAGATTATAGGGGTGTGTGAGCTCCGAGGTATAGAACCCTCACCTGCACCATGATGTCTATCATAAAGTAGAAAGTGAGTATACTTGTATACTCACTAAAGCAAGGCAGTAAACTTGATAGCTTGAGTTTTTCAGTGATGCACTTTTAGTATGTTCTAGTTATTATGTGGCACTAAGTTAGTATCTCAATGTTTAGAATTTGTTTCCTTACACATATTAGGTAGAGTAGTTGAGGAGTAGTAAAGGAGTAGTAGAGTGATCGAGGTTCAGACCAGAGAAGATCAGAGTACGTCTCAGCATTTTAAAGGGTATGTATAATTGTAAACATTGTTGTCTAGTTGAGTCGTAGATTCAATTAAAGTGGTTTGTATTATTTTGAAATGTAAATATGTTTATTTTGGAGCTTCTCAGTGTAAAGTTTTATTATAATATATTATATTTTATTAAAATGATTGTTTTGAAGTCAAAGAAAGTGAGAAAAAGTTGATCAGCCACTTCGGTGGTTCCGTGTAACACTTTAAATATATCGACTGTGTGTCGTACTAGTCTAGGGTGTTACAGTTGTAACATGATAACCAACACCAAAACAACGTAGCTTTAGATCCCTATAGAGAATCAAATTTAGACCAAAATGATATCATTTTTGTCTAAATAGAAAACTATTTTTTCCTTTATTTTCATTCTTTTTTCTTTTTCTTCTTCTTCCTCATTTCTCTCGTCAACTTAAACGAATTCAAATTCTGGTGACCAAGCCGACCATCATTTTAACCACTGTCGATCTTCGACATCGGAGGCCAATAACTCTCAAAATTTTCTAAACGCAAATCCAATATTCATTTAATCGAAACACACCATAAGCTCCATAGATATAATAATGATACCATTCCAATTTCATGTTAACCTGACTCCTCGTTTTGTTGAACATTGAAGTTTGCTAATTGATCAGGACCGATGGTCATAAAAGGAGTATTCAAGATATACGAAAGATAGAACCCCAATGATTCAACATAAGTGATGGATGTAAAAATATTTTTCAGAGTGAACACACATATTATTAGTCATAAAAAGTTTTTTATAAGAGGTGGACACAACTAAAATTTCGGGATGAACACAACTATTAATATATATATAATTATTCAAAAAAATTAAATTTTAAGGTAGAGACGTGCCGTCCCTGAATTTTTAATTGATCCGGTACTGTCCTGAAAATAGGCATTGGGTGTCGTTGGATTGATATCAGTGTGGGTTCTATTATTAATGCTAGTGTTAGCATTGGTGTTTCCTACAAATTACCTCTTTCAATTTCCATACAACGATTCGTATACTATCTCTCTTTGCCTATCGTCCACTGAATATATTTTTACTTCTAAATTTGTAACCTTTCAAATAACCAAAAGTAGGGCACAATATCTCACTTTTTTAAAAAATTACACATGCTATTGTCTGAAACATATTTACACCTCAATTCTCTGACCTTTAAAGATAAGTCACTGTAAGACTGTTATGCATGGTGCCTTCACACACTAACTCTATTTTGGATGATTTTAACACTCATTTTTCCCATCCTCACAAAGTAAAAAACAGAATGACAAAGGTAATTAGACATGAGCCATGGACATTAAGTTCTTGAAAGTAAGTTCTTTTCTTTTAAGAAAATATGAGTGTTATCGTACGAGTTCATCAATAAATTTTTTCACCTTGCTTTTTAACAGGATGAGCCTCAGAAATTTGTGAATGTTCATAAGACCTTTAGAGCGAGAAACGAGATCAAGCTCCTCAACGGAGAAGATAAGCGACAACAGTAAGTAGGCGGTGAAGAGTTAAAACATTGGATTGTGGAGAGAGAAAAAATATAATAAAATATTCATGGGTGCATGCGACAGTCTAAAAAATAATAAAAAATGACATGCCACCACAAAGTTAGAGACAAAATGGTAGAGTGATAAAAATGTTCGATGTTTAAACTTTAGTGATTAAAATAAAATGTTTTATACTGTAGTGATCAAAATAAGATTAAGAATATAGTTAGGTGATGAATAGTATAGTTTACTCTTAAAAAGTGCCAATGAAAACAACGCCGTTTTAACTGTATGTCTATAAACCCTAAAGTAAACCCTAAACTCTCTTTCTTCCCTTCATATCATTCCTGGGATTCATTTTTTCCGTTCAAAAAGCAGAAAATTCAAGGGTTTGGTTATATTTGATTTTTTTAACTTTAGTTAATGGTCAGCAGTAATTTAAAGGAGTGGTTTGATGGTTGCCCAAATGTAGATAGTTTTGGGTTAGAAGAGAGTGTATTTGACAGTATTGAGAACACTATGGAGATTGGTCAAGAGGAAAGCTTCGGGAAAACCCCTGTTGGTGACCTTGGCTTTGATGGGTTCGAGCCAGTTGTTGATGGGTCCGCGCTGGTTGAAGATGAGCCAGGCCGTACAAGGTTGGAGGAAGACGAGTCAAAACCACAAGGGGAGTTGGGTTTATCAGTTGAGGAGTCAAAACCAGAAGATTTTGATGGGCTCATGGCGATTGGTTGCGAGTCTGATCCAGTTGGAGTTGAGCCAGGCTGTACAGTGAAGGCGGAAGAAGAGTCAAAACCAGAAAAGAATCCGACTTTACCTATTGAGGAAGTGATTGAGAAGGTTGGTTTGGATGATGGATTAGAGAGTGGAAGTAGTAGTTCAGTGTCCGACAGTGAAAGTTCTTCTTCGTCAACATCTTCTAGTAGTAGCAGTGACGAGGAGGAGGAGGAGGAAGAAGATGAGGAGGATGAAGAGAATAAGGAAAAAGTGAAGGTGAATGCTAAAATGTTGAATGATGCAGATGAACTTGAAGATGGTGAGATAATAGGTACTAATGAGGAGGCAACCTTTGATGGAACTGACAATGACGACGATGACGAGGAGGAAACAGATGATATCCTTAGTGCATTAGATATTGAACTCGAAGAAGTTGATGATGATGAGGATGCTGGTGCTTCAAAAGGTCCCATCAGGTCCAAGCATGAAGTTGAGGTAACAAATTGTAGCTTTGGTCATATGTATTTTGATAGTTTTGTTATTAACTTATTATTATCTTGGTTTTGACTTTTTGAGATTGTCATGGTGTATCATGTTTCTATGATTATTTTGTGTTTCTGCATGGTGTCTAATATTTCCAAGTGAAGCTCTTGTGTATCTGTTCTGTTGTTTATTTGAATGGTCTGTGTGTATTGAGCTTTTCGCTTGTTAAAAGCTATTTTGACATGCTTTGGATGAAAGTTATTGTTTTTGACTCTGCTAAGATGGCAGATTAAGTTCATAATGAAACCATGCCATATCCATTCAAATTACTGGCTGGCTGGTAGCAAATCTGTGTTAACTTTGTTTACAATTGGAGCCTTATTTGGTTAACTTTGGATGTAATTTTAACTCATCAAAACTAAAAGATATATTTTCCGTGCGAAACATTGAACGGTATTGCATTCTGGTTCTTGCTTTGCCAGATATCAGGCTTTTCAGTGCACTCTGTTCTCGACCATGGAAACCTATATCTAGACTTCTCTTCCATGCTCTCTGTAATTCTGAACAATATGACCAAAATAGTTATTACTGAAGTTAAAATTTCGGCAAGGCATAAAGCCAGAGTTATATTTGTTGAATAATATTTCTGAGAGAATGCATTGCATTTGGCAGGTTCTTCCTGAAGTTCCACCACTGGATGTTGAACTGCAACCCCATCACCAAATGCTGCCTGTTGGAGTTATTTTGTCGGTAAGCTCAATTCGGAACCTCTATTGCAAACTACAAACGCCGAACCTTAAAGTTTGTTCATACTTTATTAACACTCCTATACCTTATATTTCAGAGCTTGGGCTTTTTTTTCAGCCTTTAAGTCTAATGATGTTCATTACACTGTTACAGATGATTGGTACCAAAGTTATTGTTGAAGGAAGAGAGCAGCACAACCCTCTGAATGAAGGTTCGGTTCTCTGGTTAACCATGAACAGATCTCCACTTGGATTTGTGGATGAAATCTTCGGACCTGTAAAAAACCCATACTATATAGTGCGGTATAATACCGAGAGCGATGTCCCTGCTGGGATCCATGAAGGCACTTCTATCTCTTTTGTTCCTGAATTTGCTAATCACGTTCTCAACGAGAAAAGTCTTCACAAGAAAGGATATGATGCATCCGGTGAGAATGATGAGGAGTTGTTGGGTGATGCTGAGTTCTCTGATGATGAAAAAGAGGCCGAGTACAAGAGGATGCAAAAAATGACAAAGAGAGCCATGAATGACCAGAGAGTGGGAAACCAGAAAAGCAATAAAAAGAAAGTTAATGGAGCTTGGAATACCGATGGGAACTCTGCCCAGCAAACAGCAACAGGTCAACTTCCACCTAATCAGAATCAACATAATATCTCCGTAGTCTCAGCATCTTTGGTCAATCATAATTGTTCATCTTCTGTTGTGGGACAACAAAATTTTGTTGGTGGATCTGGCTTTGTCCCACCGTCTGGTAATATTGGACCTTCTAATGGAGTTTGGAATAATGGAATGGCAGGCCAGCATCCACAGAATGTTGTTTTCCCGAACAGGTTTTCTGCTGAAGGAATGCAATTGCTCTCGCAGAATTACGCACAGCAGCCTATTCCTTTGTCAAACCCTGCAATATCTATGCCTACCATGATGCCCTATCAGCAGCAGCAGCAATTTGACCCTAGTTTGAGCACATTTCCTAATATGGTCTTACCTGGTGGCCAGTTAAACTCTTTTGCTGGACTATCCTCTGCACCTTTGCTGGGGATTGCCGGTCAAAATTTAATCAGCCAAAGCACGTTCGGAATGGGTATGCAGTCCCAACAATTCCTTGGTGCATTGCAGAGTATTTTAACAAATGGACCTACTCTAAATGGGAACTGTAATTTGCAACCAAAAGGTGTCCAAGTCAACTTCGAATTATCCCAGAACTTTAACATGGGTGCACCATCGAGTCATGGAGGAAAATCACATCATCGAGGCCGTGGAAGTGGTCGTGATCGTTTTAGTGGTGGAAGAGGTCATCACCGATCTGAATAAATTCGAATAGAGACACGAGCCAAACTATACGTTTCGGTGTGCAACTTTTTGTTGATTTTTTCCAATGTAAGAGATTCAAGGTAATTAGCATTGAATATGTCTGACTATTAATCAAGCATTTTTTTCCAGTTTCAATTCCCAATTCTTTCATTGTCAACACACAACAAAATGTTTTGGTGTTTTTCTTTTTTCATAGATTTCACATTCAAAGAGTAAAGCTAATGCATATTCAATGAAAAACTTCATGTGCTTAGCTTAAAAAAACTTGGGATCATCATCAATTCTTGAGTTAAACTAGAAATAACCACAACCTCCATGAAATATTACCTCAACTGCAAACTTTTGGTGGGTTGCGAAGTTTATCTCAATCGAATTCTACTGGAATTCTCCCTCGTTCCTTCCACTCAAATCCACTACCAGTTGCCGCCGCAAAAATGTCATCAATGGAGTCTCTCATTCTCCAGCTCCACGAAATATCCGCCGTCAAATTCGGCAACTTCAAGCTAAAATCCGGCATCTTTTCTCCCTGCTACATAGACCTCCGCCTCATCGTCTCCTACCCTTCCCTCCTCCGCCAAATCTCCCACTCCCTCCTCTCATCTCTCCCTCCCCGAACGCCCTTTAACCACATATGCGGCGTCCCTTACACCGCCCTCCCAATCGCCACCTCCATCCCCATGCTCATGCGCCGCAAAGAAGTGAAAGACTACGGCGCTTCCAAGTCCATCGAAGGCGTTTACGAGAAGGGTCAAGCCTGTTTGGTGGTTGAAGACCTTGTCACGTCTGGAGCATCGGTCCTAGAAACCGTAGCGCCGTTACGGGCGTCGGGAATCAAGGTGACGGATGCCGTCGTGGTTATAGATAGAGAACAAGGCGGGAGGGAGACGTTGCAAGACAATGGAATCAAACTTCATGCTTTGTTTACTTTAAAGGAGATGGTTAGGGTTTTGAGAGAGAAAGGGAAATTGGAGAAAGAGATGGAGAGTTTGGTTATGAAGTTTTTGGAAGAGAACAAGAAAGTGGCTGTGCCTAAGGATGATAAAGTGGGGGTTAAGAGTTTGGGGTTTGAAGAAAGGGCTAAGTTAGCTAAGAATCCAACTGGGAAAAAGCTGTTTGAGGTTATGGTTAAGAAAGAAAGTAATCTCTGTTTGCCTGTTCATGTTGGGACCGCTGCTGAGTTGCTTGATATTGCTGATAAGGTAAAATTGGTTTTAGTTTCTTAGGAAAGTTTTGAATTTTTCTAGAGAAAATGATTGAAGGAAATGGGTTTTCTGTTTTGGATGGACTTGTTTTCTCGGTGAAGTTGAAATATTTCTAGTAGAGTGATGAACAAAGTGTTTGTTTTTATAATTTTCTTAACCATTTCTGTTAAGTAGAGAAGTTGATTTTGCTCTTTGGCTGATTTTGTTTATATACTAACTTGCTAAACATTCTCTTGCTCGATATTTGAATTTATATGCAGGTTCTAAACTTGTGAATTTATATGCAGGTTGGACCAGAAATCTGTCTATTGAAGACTCATGTTGACATATTACCCGATTTCACCCCAGATTTTGGTTCTAAACTTCGTGCGGTAAATATCAAATGCTTACTGAATGTTTTGTGCCTACATTTCCTGACCTAATTGCAGCATTACCTGTTAAAGTCGGTAATGTAGGATCTTGTGAAGTGGTAGACGTTAATGCTAAGTTGAACTAACAATCCTGTTATGGGATCTTTCAACTGAAGATTGCAGAAAGACAACTTTTTTATCTTCGAAGACTGTAAGTTTGCCGACGTTGGTAACACGGTGACAATGCAGTATGAAGGGTAACCTTCAGTTTTTTTGTAACCCAAGTGTTTCTGGTGTGTTCTTTTGCAGAGGAATCTTCCACATATTGGATTGGGCTGATATTGTTAATGCACACATAATCTCAGGTCCTGGAATTGTGGATGGTCTGAAATTGAAGGATGGTTATGATTTCTCAAAGTTACCTTTTGGCTAGGTTTAAACTATGGAGTTGAAACTAATCGTTCTTGTAAATTTATATTCCGGGAACTGTTTTAGGGTTTGCCTCGTGGTAGGGGCATGTTGCTACTTGCTGAAATGAGCTCTGCCGGTAACCTTGCCACAGGAGACTACACAGCTGCTGCTGTAAAAATTGCAGAAGAGCATTCTGATTTTGTCATTGGTTTCATCTTGGTCAATCCGGCATCATGGGCTGGGGAACCGGAAATCCTGCGTTCATTCAGGCAACCCCTGGTGTCCAAATGGTAAAGGGTGGTGATGATCTTGGCCAGCAGTGTAACACACCATATTCTGTAAGTATTTTATCCCGTCATCACTCCTTCTACAATCTTTTGTACCATGAAGCTATTGTGTACATGAACTTTCATTATCCTTTTCGTCTTGAACAATATTCCAGGCCATCTTCGATAGGGGTAGTGACATAATAATCGTGGGTCGAGGAATACCGCCTTCAAGGATGGAAAGCATACACGGCTAAATGCAGTTAAATATCTTTTATGTTATCTGTCCCACCTTGCTTGAAACTAATGCACTCACATCCCTAATAACAAACCCAGTGGGATTTTGTTAATCAGTAATTTTTTTATGCATACTAAATCAAAGAATTAAAATTTATAAATACTAAATCAAATTTATAGTTCATAACATTAATTAATAAATACATTTCAAAAATTAAAATAATATATTTGAATCAATCAAAGGAGTAAAATCTATAAGTACTTTTGAATAATTAATAAAAATATTAATATTATATATCGTAATATATTTCTTGGTAAACTATAGCATTCTTGGCGCAATCGTATTTCTTATATATATTCATAATATTTTTAACTTTTAATTTATTTTCTTATCGTGGGAATGTCTAAAGCTCTATCCGCTTAAACTCTGACAACCATTTAGCTGAAACTTAAAATGTTAATAGTATACATAACATTTATAGATTGTAACTAATTTTCTTATCGTATAACATTTTAGTGCAACTTGTTATGTTACTTCGACTAATAACTTTTTCGGTTATGATTTATAACATTTTGTGATATGATTTTAACATGTTACCTTTTTTATCAGTCACGTCGTTATTAATCTTATTTTAGGCGTCTCACAATAGAACTTCATGTTATAGGGAACTTATTTGTAAGAGGCATCTCCAGCCAGTTATGAATACATTACAGAGTCAACATTGTTGTCTCATCTTACTAGGGAAACTGGAGAAGAAACTCAAGCTAAAATAGAGGGACTGCACCAAGATATACAGTCAAGTCATATCAGATATATAACGAAAATGAAAACAAAAGCTTTTAGGATGCAATTACAGGAAACAATGGAGAAGAATTAATTTTATTAAATTGAAAGTAATTTGTACAAATTAATTAATTCTTTTATTTATTTATTTTAAAATAAATTTTTTTTCTTTTAATCATTAAAAATACCGATGTTGAAAAGGCGCTATATAAATATATAATTATCATTTACAAGATATATCTTAAAAATATTCTAAAATAATATAAAAATAATATATATCTAAAACTATTCGTAAAATAATCTAGATATTTATAATGTAACACCCTAAACCAGTACGACACATAGTCGACTAATTAGGATGTCACATGAAACTACCGGAGTGACTAATCAATTTTTTCCTCCATTTCTCTTAATTTAAAACGACCAATCACATAATAAAATCATTCCTAAAATATAATTGAAACTTTACATTGGGGAGCTCCCAAAATAAAAATATAAATTCAAAATAAACAGAACAACTTTACAATAAAGTTACGACTCAATACAACTGAGTCACGTCATTCAAAACATGAGACATACTTTGTTTTCCTCTGGACCTTAATCACTTTAAGACTCCTCGGATGCTCCACCTAATTTGCATAATGAAACAAATTTCAAACGATGAGTTAACTAGTTAGTATTACACTAACAACTAGATCATACTAAAAGTGTATCATTAAATGCTCAAGATATCAAGTTTACTGTTTTAGTGAGTATATTTGTATACTCGCTCTCTACTTTATGATATATATCATGATACGACTGAGAATTATGCATCTCGAAACTCACATATCTCTCTAGTCTATCGAGAATATTTATCATACTAAAAATTTAGTATTAAAAAAAATATTTATCACTCTAAAAATTTTGAGTTCAAACAACATCATTTACGGGATATATTTACATTGTGGATAAGTTAGAAATTTTTTAATAGATATACATTATAATAGCTGCAAAATTTTCAATATATATATATATGACCTTGAATTTTATTTTTTTAATAAAACTCAAATCTTTTTACCTTCACGACTTTGGTATCAATCACTATGGAAAATACCAAAATAAAAACGAGCATGGTTTGTGTCGGCCATTCTCCGATCTTTCAAGAGTTAATGAGAAGGCAGCATGTGGAAGAGGGTAATAGAGATAGTGCCGATTTGATTGTCAACGGTGGGGGTGTCGGTGTTTCAAAGTTGAAGAAGAAAGGGGGCTGATTTATGAGTATAAAGAGCGTTGCTAATAGCGTGAAGGGTAATAGAGAAGGGCGAAGCAGCGACGAGAGGGATACCTCATCGGAGAAGGGCGGGAGGAGATCAAGTTCCGCCACTGATGATTGCCAGGATGTTTCATTTCATGGGCCGGAGAGAGTGAGGGTAAAGCAGTATGGGAACCATGTAAAGAGCTCACTGCTCTTTTCAAGAGTCAAGAGATACAGGCGCATACAGGGTCCATTTGGAGTATTAAATTCAGTTTGGATGGCAAATACCTTGCTAGTGCAGGTGAGGATTGTGTGATTCATGCATGGAAGGTTATTGAATCAGAGAGGAAAGGCGAGTTGTTGATGGAAAAGCAAGAAGATGGGAATTTGAGCTTTTTGCTTGTGGCTAATGGATCTCCGGAACGGACTCTGTCGTCACCAAGTTCTGATCTCCATCTTGAGAAGAAGAGAAGAGGAAGGTCATTGATAAGCCGGGAATCGATGAGCCTAGACCTCATTGTGGTGCCAGAGACTGTATTTGCGCTCACAGATAGGCCTATTTGTTCTTTTCTAGAACATTTGGATGACGTGCTTGACCTCTCATGGTCCAAATCTCAGGTTAGTCACACCGGACTATCAATATAGTTTGATTTTCTGGTTTTTGGTAAGTAATGTTGTTGGGAAGAACTTTATTTAGAGTTTCTATTTTCAGCCTTTAGAAGCCTAATAAACTAAATCTCTGGGGTAATTGTAGTTGTCTATTTACTTAGATTTAGTTAATCAGTTAAATAGATGTGCTGGTTTTTCTTATACCAAGCATTTATTGTATATTTTCATGCTGGCTCAATGTAAACAAAGAAATGCATTTTTGTTCTTTTCGGATCTCTGGCTCTGTGAGATGGATTTTCACATCGAGTTTCTGGACTGAAAAAAACTTAGTAGCTTGTCCGAGAAGTCGATCTTCTACGATCATGATTAATTCTTGCTTGTAATGCACTTAATCAGAAGTTATTTGTGAACATAACTGGTTAAATTACGTGTGAATTTCACAAATTATGAAATCTATTGCCATCCTGCTTGATTTATTGTTTTTGATGCTTCTATGATACCTTCTTCCTTGTTACCAGTTCTGGTTAAGGTTCATGGTGACACCGTAATATACCTTGTGGAAACTTTGAGATCATCTTAGGACCACTTTTGAATTTGCATATCGATAATAAATGGTTAGGAATGTTTTTGGTTCTACCACCACAAGTTTTTATGAACCATTACGAACGTTAATGACATTTAACTCAAATTGGATGCCTTAGAAGTTTTTCAAATTTTAAATGATGCTGAAGTGATGCCTCTATGTATTCCTTTTATATTTGTTGCAAGCTTCTAGAGAGGTAATTGTTTGGCCATTTTTTATGCCTTCCCCCCTGCATCACTACTTAGACTCTGTTAGAATCATAGCTGCAGGATATTCTGGTAAAAAATTCTGTTTTTCCTTTTCAGCAATTGATCTCATCATCAATGGACAAAACAGTTAGGCTTTGGGATTTGACTAGCAAGAGTTGTTTGAGAATGTTTTCACACAGTGATTATGGTAAGTAAATTACTGTTGAACGTCTGGTGTTAACCTTCATAATGTCCCTGTTAAGAACATCACTAAATTGTACTATTTTTTGGGGATAAATAGTTAGAATACATACGAGCAGTGAATGACATGTGATATACTTTTGTTCTCCATAGTTGTAATATCAACATTTGCATCAACCCAAAAACATCTAAGAGACTCTCAAAGTGCTAAATCTTTAGTGTAATTTCGTGGCTTAGAATGTGCAGAGTTCATTCACGTTAAGCGTGTTTGGTGTTGGTTCAATGAAAATTGTAATTCAAAGATCCAACATAAAGAAATATATAATTAGCTTTTTCTTGTCTCTTGAAATTGATTTTTGTATTACTGATGATGCTTTATTCTTGTGGAACTACCTTGACACAGTAACTTGCATCCAATTTAACCCGGTCAATGATAGATACTTCATTAGTGGATCCTTAGATGCTAAAGTTCGCATATGGAGCATTCCTGATTGTAAAGTTGTTGATTGGAATGATCTACATGAAATGCTCACCGCCGCTTGTTTTACACCAGATGGCCAGGTTGGGAATGGCCAATTACAAGTTCGTTCTATACAATAAACAATGAATAAGAAGCTCATGAAATTTCTATTTATTTTGAAGGGTGCACTAGTTGGCTCGTACAGAGGAAGCTGCCGTTTATACAATGCTTCTGGTACAAGTTTATGAATTCTCTCTCCCTATATTGTCTGCATTCTCGTTCTTTATTTTATGGATGACTTACCGAAGAAGTTTCTTGCATTCATGCATTTTTTCTCCAGAGAACAAGTTGCTACAGAAAAGTCAAATCAATTTGCAGAACAAAAAGAAGAAATCTCATCAAAGGAAAATTACAGGTTTCCAGGTAAATCCCATGTCCCTGCTGCTTGAAATTCTATGTTTAATATTGAAGGCACATTTCTTACTTAGAACCCCCCTTTTTTTTTTACATATTTCTTGCCACCTTGTTTTCACTTTATACTTTCCCCTGCGGACTACTTTCCCAATCAGTTTGCACCTGGAAGTTCATCAGAAGTACTCGTCACATCTGCAGATTCACGAATTCAGGTAATTGATGGTTCTGATCTGATTCACAAGTTTAAAGGTAATTCTTCATATGATATAAATATGAGCATGAGATTCTGCAATTACGCTGATTCCACTGATGTTGTTGACTATATGTGACAGGATTTCGGAACACGAACAGCCAAATCTCTGCTTCTGTTACGGAAAATGGAAAATATGTTGTCTGTGCTAGTGAGGACTCTTATGTTTACGTGTGGAAACACAAAGTAGAATCAAGACCTAGCAGAAGTAAAGGAGTCACCAAGACAC